CTTAGTTGCTGATACCTTGTTTCCCTATAGACTTTCACCTTGTGAAATTTACTGAGGGTGGAATAAAGTGCCTGTTCGGTAGAGGTAAAGTTGAGATTGCCGGTGATGATGTTAAGGCAGGCTACTTGTGTGATGCGTTCTGGGAGGATGCAAATAGCAAAGGGCTGGTTTCCAGCGATAATTCTCACTTTTGGTGGTAGGTAAACTGAATGACCTCTCATTCTCTCTTTTTTATCTCAATAATTTCAATTCCTTAAATAGTCCTTTGCCTCTTACCCTGCTGGCAGAGGCGTTAATTTGTTAACTTCCCCTACGGTCCACGTAAAAGTAAAGTCCTCTGTGCTCGGCCTGTTAAATCTTCTTCGAGCATGCGCAGCCTGTTGCTTAGAAACAAATTAGTTCCCAGTAGTACTCGGCTGATCGTGGGCTCACACTTGGTCTTGCCATATAGCTAAATAGGATGTGTGCGCATAAAAACGTGTTTAAAACAGGTTCTGACTGGTTTTGCAAATCAGATTATCCACAACCTTGGATAATTCCCAGGCGCATGCTTGAAGAAGATTTAACAGGCCGAGCACAGAGGACTTTATTTTTACGTGGACCATAGGGGAAGTTAACAAATAAATGCCTCTGCCAGCAGGGTATTTGCCTCTATATCATGTTTCAAAGGTAAAGAGTGTTTGACAAAATTAATATGAATTACTTTCTTCTTTTCCAGGAACTAAGCCATCATGATGATATTTTTTTATGAAGTGACAGTCTTTTGCAGAATGGATTACTACTTCCCTGGCTCACCAAGCTTACACTCTTACTTTGGACCATGTCTTTCATCATTTTGATTGATTGATTCTAGTTAGGGAAGGGGGCTATTCAAGTGCATGGTGATCTCATCAATCTCTGGCAATCTAGGTACAGTATGCATAGTCAAACAGACTACTGTACTCTCCTTCATGGTTGAAATTTTTGTTAGAATTTAGATTATGAAACTCCATGTTACCAACATAATCAACTTTGTTGGGTTGTTTGTTGGTAATCGACAATTTCAATCATTTGAGAACTGACTTGAACATTTGTCTTTTCATTGCTTCCTAGGTTTTGTTCTGGATGAGAAAAATTACAGAAAGCAGGCTGCCACAATTGTAAATAAACCCTGCAAGATAAGTGCTGTTGAGCTTATAAAGAAGTATTATAAAAAAAAAAATAAAAAAAAACAGCTAGAACTTTATCACAATTTTATGATTATTCCTGTCTTTTTAAATGATTTTTGAAGTTTTATATATTCTTGCTGATTAGAAGAGAAATGAAAATTGCATACATACTTTTAAATTTATATCAATAAACTTTGTCAAATAGATAATATTGCAGTGTCTTATTCACTTGTTCTTAATTAATGAACTACACCCTATGCCCCCCCCCCTTGATAGTCTCCCCTATAGCCACAGTAGGGATCCACAGACAGCTAACATATCTGTAGTAGCAGATATTTCCACAGATATGGATGTACTGTTGGTTTTTTGCATCTGTCACAATATATCTGTCACAGTTAGAAATTTTGGGCCAAATTCCCATATGTTACAGATATGTTACAGATAGGGCATGCAGGTATTTCACAGATATGCTGCAGACCTGAGGAACATATCTGTAGCCCATCTGTCTGTTTGGTGAGGGTCCTTTAAAAGCAATTGAAGTAAAAAAGAAATATCACCAACAATGAGTGTGATAATTATTAACGTTATAGCTTGTTATAACCAAGTCAACCAAAATCAGGGCTCGACACTAATGGTAGCCAAGTAGCCACAGACTAGTAGAAATTCAGTTTTGGCTTATGGTTTTGGATTTCCACTAGCCAGTTTGGCTAGTAAACATACTGAAATTGTATCATCCAAGTTGTCACTTGCCACATCATTTTGGTTTGTAATTTGAAAAGTTAGTGTCAAGCCCTGACAATGCATGCATCACATGTAGCTGCCACAACTTACTGAGTGCAAAATATTCCACATTGCAGGAAGACACGTACCTCTGTACTGCTGTGGATCTACATAGAAAGGAAGAATATATTGGTAGAGTGTTTTACAGTACATAACATTATGTCTAACAGAGCTTTAATTTTCCCATGGTAAAAAAATTAATTCAGAGATACTGACTATTTTCTTTTTAACAATAAAACAGTAGATCATACAGTTCCCGTTCTTGTAACAAAAATAGATTTAATAAGAGACCTAAAAACTTTGGGTCAATACTTTTCAAAAGAAAACGTTTTTGACTTTGTATCAAAATGTGTCAATAACTATTTAAATGAATATTACACATCATTATACTATGGAGAACAAGCGCAAATGTGTCACTGATGATTGGGCATGCATTCTTTTCAGTTGCAATTAAACCCCTTGTTGACATGCACACAGCCCACCATTTGATGATATTTGGATGCCCAGAGCCAGCAAATTATGCTTTTGCTAATGATGGAAAATATTGGTATGTTGATTAAGGAATAGTATTAAGTCAATAATGCTCTTATGATATGACTAATATTTCACATGTGGTCTTCAATTTTAGCAAAGAAAAGCTTGGTTCAGTAGGTTTTGCCATGCAAGTACAGATTTTATTGAGGATAATTCTTGTAAAATTAATAAATGAATTTCATGTTGCTGTGCATGTGTTCAGTAATATCTGGCAGATAATATCAAAATGTGGTAAAAACCATAATGGTGGCACATGAGGTGCCACTGAGTATGTTGCCATTATTTCCACTTTGTGACATCTAGTATGATCTACCACAGACTCTGCAAACCCACAGCAACATGCAATTAGAATCAATTTGTTTTATATAAAAAAAAGCAAAATGTTCGTGATGCATGGTGACACAAACCAATCAAAATGCGTATTTAATTCACCTTATCATAAAAAACGTAATTACTTTCCCTGACTCATAACTATAGCCATGGAGGTATACTATGATAAAACCCTTTCTTATAAACTTCCAAATCGTGAGGGTGTAAGTTAATGACGTTACTTTTTAACTTGATTGTAAATAATATCAATGATAATCATTATTATTTTGGATTCCCATACTTCTACGATTACAATTGTTATTACTATGTTGTAAATTATATATTGGGGCTGAATATCCAATGGGATATCGTCCTGTTTCCTTCCCCAGTTGCTGATGTTATTTTGTAAGCGCAACAAATTCAATAAAGTTCAAAGAGTGACACAAAGGATGAAAATTGCTGGAGTTCAAAATAGTTTTTGGCTTTGTGTCTTCTTGCTTGCTGTAAATGTTCTCAGAAGAATGCAAAAATTACTTAATACAATAACAGGTATTTTTTACTTAAGTATACAAAATAATTAACTTACACATCTTTTTTTGTTTTTTTTTCTTTTTCTTTTTGTAGGACATGTGGAGAAAGTGGACCCAATAAATGCAGCCATGGTTCTACTGCAAAAATATTGTATGCTTGGGGAAGAAATGCTCCAGAGTTGGACTTACCACCTGGTACTGCACGCCAATATTCACCTATATCGTAGTGTTGTTATCATCATTACAAATAATAGGAATGCTTAACGCCATTTTCACTGTGATTTCATGGCCTTTCCTTAACCTGTTTCTCCATTACCAACTTCCCCAACAATAATTGCATGTTACATATCTTTGATCTGAGATATTACATTAAATGGGCTGAGAGAAAGAGTCATTTATAAGTCACTTAAAAGACTCTTGTAGTACAAATAAATGTTGTGGCAGTCAAAAATNGTATACATTAAGTACAAGTTATATACACCACATGGAACATACGTCACATTTGTTAAAAATACTTAAAAGTTAAAAAGTCTTCGGTGCGCTTCGTTCTACAGGTAGTAACGTTTCTGTAAAGATACAACTGGTCTGATTTGTGCCTGAGGTTATAGGGACAGGTATCGTCTAAGCGTGTTGGTAGAAGAGGATGGAGAGGGTGGTTTAAGTCCTTCATTTTGCACATATACTCTTTACATATCTTATCTCTTCTATACACAAGGTTCTCCACCCGTGCTAACTCGAGGGCTTCTGAGTAACTATTGGCACATGGGAAAATTATCTTAAGTGCCCTTTTCTGTATGGATTAATTTTGTCAGACAGATAACCTGGAATGGATTGCCATACTGGTACAACGTACTCTATAACAGATCTAACAGTGCTTGTATAGACCTTTAACATTCTACCTTGGTCAACGCCGGCTCGACATAGAGCTTCTTGCAAGCTTTTTTTCTATATTAGTTAACATGACTATTCCACCTAAGGTCGCTATTGATGAATACTCCTAGAATCTTGTAAGTCGATACGCGTTCTATAATGTTATTACCAATAACTAATGGTCTGAGAGTAAAATTAGGATACGACATAAAGTTAATTAACATCTCTTTACATTTAGTAGGGTTTAGTCTCATATTATGGTCCATGGAGAATTCGTGAATGTTAGAAATGGTCATATTGAGCAGACTGATAGAGTTCCTGGGTAGTATTTCTATGGCAGACTTGTCATCCACAAACTTGACTCTCAGGTGCCAATCAGCTAAAAGATTGTTTGTCATTATTGTGAAAAGTATCACTCCTAATTTAGTTCCCTGCAGCACACCTCCCTTGAGGAATTTCCAATCTGATAGTGTTGTACCTATTCTTACAGCTTGCTGTCTGTCGGTTAGGAATGCCGCGATCCAACTGATGAACGCTGGATCAACCTCTAGTTTTCGCAACTCAGCCATTAAAATGTTGTGGTCAATTAGATCAAAGCCTTTCGAGAAGTCAGCGAAGAAGACCCAAGCTCCTAGATCAGTACAATCTACTGCCTTGTAAATGGCTTGTAACATGAATAGAAGGGCATCTGTTGTCGAGTGGCCTCTATGCACAAACTGTCGCGGGTTGATTTTTCCATGTAACTGTGGCAGTAGTTTATTGCATGTGAATCCCTCCATGACTTTTGCCAGAGTACATGTGAGCAATATCAGGCGGAGATCGCTCTTTATTTCTCCTGGTGGGTTTACGTTTGGGATTGGGGTGATGATGGAAGATTTTAGAAGTGATGGGATGTATCCCTCCTTAAGATACTGGTTATAGGTGTTTCGAATGACAGGGGCTAGTTCGTGTGCGAAGTCCTTAAGCAATTTATTTGAAGTCCTTATGCAATTTATTTTAACATAGAAACTTGCTTTTTAAGGGACAGAGGATTCTAACCAGTTGTTGATAACTGGGATCAGATGGAGCTCATGGTGTAAAAATCAATCTTTATCTGACTTGTAATATTGATTGTTCAACCTCTCCACAGTTGATCCTACTCTAAAAGATTATCAGATGGAGCTCATGGTGTAAAAATCAATCCTTATGTGACTTGTAATATTGATTGTCCAACCTCTCCACAGCTGATCCTACTCTTAAAGATTACGCTGGGGCAGAATTGCACATGATGTCAGTACGGTGAGTAACTGTAGTTGCAAATTATTTCAGTCCTCATTCTAAGCCTTGTTCAAAACTTAATTAGTACAAATAAGGGGAACTGAAAAACCATTTAACATCATAATGTTGGAGTTTGTAAAGTCTGTTTCATGCTTTGTACAGCTCAGCTTTGAGCAATATTAGCAAAATCAAAAAACATTATACTTACCACAACAAAAACATGAAGAGGAAAAAGTTGATTAATTTTCTCAATTACTCCTTGTCTTTTTCTTCCTTATTCTTTTCCCTTCTCCTTTTTTTTCTCCCCTCCCTCCCCCCTTCATGCAGTTTCCTGTCTTTCCCTCCAATTCAATTTCTTTTCTTGACCTTCTCCTCCTATTACTGCATTATAATTGGAAAAGGTTATGAACCTATGAAATGAATTCACTACCTCCTGGCCATAGGGTGGTAATTTGTTCTTCCTAAAAACAATTTGCATGTAGTTAGCTGTCGCAATTACTGTAGGTACTTGTTTGAAGTGACTTCTACCTAAACTTAGCCTCTACAGTCCTAATCTCAGCCATGAAACCATACCTCAGCCATGACACAATACTTTGTTACATTCTCTTCCTAGTCCTGGTGGAAAAGAATTAATGGGAAATCTAAATAATCAAGTGAAATTAAACCTTCATAAGTTGAAAATGAACAAATGAGTAAAACAGTTCATAACTGTTCCCAAGGTTTCAGTTATAACAGTTCTGCTTCTCACTTTTGCTTCACAGACCCAGTCAACTGGCTGCTGTATTTCTCTTACAACCATTTGGAGACATTCCACCAAAGAAGAAAGGTAAACTAAAATCTTTGAAGTCGCTCCCCTGCCTGCTCAGCAGATCACCTGCCTCATAACTAAATACTGTGTTTCTTCTTTATCCAGCTTGGCATTTTGACATTGGATGTCAATATCATGATGGACCAGTCTTACATCCTTTTGACTTTAGAGTCCACACTCATGG